GTGCCTAATACACCCCTAGGAAGGTGGGTTTTATAGGAGGTTTGGCTGGAAGTTTGGGGAGGGTGAATTCTTTAAGCCTAACATCATGTACATTGATGTGATTTCCTGTTCACTATCCATCTACCCACACTAGAATGTAAGCTCCAAGAAGGCAAGAATGTTTCTGTCTTGTTCACGAGCTAGCCCTAGCACCAGGGACAGTGCCTGGTTCGTAGTCAGGGGCTCAGAAATACCCAGTGGAGAAAGGAAGGAAGAAATGGCAGCCTCAGGGAGAGGTGAACAGGGCACAGCAGACTCAGAGCCTCCAGTCAGGACTGTCTGCCTCTGGCTTCCAGAAAACACTGCCAGTGTTGAATGCTTGCCATGGACTACTTCAGCTCGACCACCAAGGCCGCCACCCAGCACCCAAGCTTAGCACCATGTCAGTGACACAGATGTCACTAGATACATCCAGGGATGTCGTCCATTTCACGGCCAGACTCCTGTGATGGCTGGGAAATTCTTCCTCTAAGAGCCCAGGTCTGACCTCAAGGACGGACAGAATACGCTCACTCCCTCGTCCACCAGCGAGTCAACAAACGTTTGCTGAGGACCCCGTAGACTGACAGGAGGCAGAACTCACACACCTGAAAAGATACAGGGAACACAAGTGTAGAAATAAACAGACCACCAGAATGAGAATAGAGACAATTCATTCAGAGCTTGCTCTAGCAAAGGAGTCAGCCACCGTCACTTGTGTTTGGCAGAGACCCAGAGGCAGGCAGGGAGTGGGAAAGCTGTGTCATGAAAAAAATGGGAGGCTTCAGGTGTGCCCTGGCTGGAGGTCACTGGCACAGGCAGGCGGAAGGCAGGCTCATTAGAAGTGGGGCATCTGATGTTGGGTTGGGGGGCATATTTGGCTTTCTCGGTGAGTTCTGAGTTGGAAGCAGAAACAAAAATAGGGAAGCTGACAGTCATTGACCCAACCCTGACCATTCTGGGACAATTGCTGCAGCAGTTGTGGGTCAGAGTTCTACTGTTGCGTTGTCTGGCCATTATATGTTTGTAAATTCAAACAAGGCAGGACATAGCGTGACGCAGCCACATATCGGGGATGGGGTGAGAGGTCAGGAATGGATGGTCTTCCCAGGGAAACTAGCCCAGAGCACAGGCCTCCACATTCATCCCTTCCCTCAGCAATGCGAACTTTGAGACTGCTTTAAGGAGGGTCAGTCGGAGCTTGCAACGCCTGGGGATCTGTGTGAAGGGAACCCAGGGCGTCCTCAACCTCGCCCTCTCTTTCCACAGTGTTCTGTTTGCCTCCGGCTTTTGTCTTGCAGAGGCTGCAGGGGAACGAGCCCCAGTTTTCAGCATGGGGGGACTCTGAAGATTGGCTTTCCACTCACAGTTTAAAGTTTGAGAAACTCAGCTTGGCTGACCTGATAAGTCAGGGCACCGCAGTGTAAGTCCGGAGCCATTCCCCTCCCTCTTCCCCCAAGGCTGTCGCGACACGTGCAGCCCCCTGGGCCTGAGCAACCCCCTCATAAGACTTTGCCTCTTCAGGGAAGAAGACACCAGTGTCCTGCAGAAAATGCATTTCTCCACCCAGATCATCCACCACTTTGAATCGAAGCTTTCTGAGTAAGTGAGTTTGTCAATGTCCTCCCAACACACTGGAGCTCAAGAATGATCTCATTTCAGCAGACTGAAAGTAACTGTTCGGACAGCAATCTCTGTGGGACCTTGGACAGGTCTCTTCCCACTTCTAGCCCCAGTTTCCTCTTTTCTCACATGAAAAGGTTGGATCAGATCAATGTCTCTCAGCCTTTAAAAATCCATGGTTCCGGTTGGTCCGAGTGCAGTGGTGTTTACAACTAATTGATCACAACCAGTTACAGATTCCTTTGTTCCTTCTCCACTTCCACTGCCTCACTTGACCAGCCTTTAAAAAAAAAAAAAAATCCATGGTCCCTTTGGATGAACACCTAAAACCTCACAGCTTCATCTGATGTTTGATTGTTGAAAGTGACTGCTTTCAGTGTCAAATTGGTTGGCTTCATTCCTGTGCATGTCAAAATATGCATGCACCCCACTCCTAAACCAGATTTTAACAGCACATGTATACATGCAAATACACACACACACACACACACACACACACACATCTATTGATAAATAAACTACTTGATCAGTAAACAGGATGCTTCTTAAGATTT